TCCCTCAGTTTCAATAAAAACCACAAGTCGAAAAAGAAAGATTAGTATGAACATTTCAGAATGGTAGAAGCCAAGCTGCCAACTTTTCCAAACTTACAATTTTCTCTCTTCCTGCTTGCTTAGGTGCTTCTGCATGCCATGCTGTGTCTATGTGCACTCTTATGGTCATAGTGGTGTTGTTTTTACTATGAACATATGCTTTAAAAAAAGCACTCTAAAGTATATGCTGACCATATACAAAAAGATGTTGTTTGAACTTATGCTCAGGACTTTGAAAAAAATATAGAATGTGAAATGATTGTTCAAGTGCTGAAACTGATGAAAAATCAATAAAAGTATTTCCAATTTAAAACTATCCTTACTGATTTGCTTTGCAATTACTGCATATGTTGCTACTGCTGAGTGAAGTGTTTTATGGTACAATAGGATTACATGAGATCTCACATACAAAAATCTGCTGTCATAGACATGAAATGTCTTCTCACAGCATTTCCATAATCATATTAGCATAATCCATTAACAATCGAACAACAGCTTTTGAGCATTCTGTTTCAAATGGCAAATAAATTATGCATAGAGTGCTTTCAAAAAATATTTATTAGGATTACTAAACAAAAGACGAGAACTTTCATCTGAAAATAAAAATACAGATTCACAACTGGAAGAAACTGAATGCAAAACAGAAGCAGCTAGACAGTGTATTAGCCATACAAGACCAGAGTACAATGCATTTTAAGTGCATTAAAATTCTTGTTCAAGCTGCCACGTTGCACCAGATTTCAGCCACACATCCAGTCCTGCTACTGGACCTTCAACACGAGTAAATGCCATATGTAGCAAATTATCCATGCCCTGAAGCAAAACATCCCACTTGCCTCCTGGTGACGACAGCTCAAGCTTCATTTAACTCTATTTATGTTCACTTCGAGTCGTGTATTTGTCCGTTTAGACCAATTTCTGGGTCTTCTCCTCTGCTAACTGTTCCTCGCCCTGTTTCTGCTTGCTGAACATGCCTTTGTACAGTGCCTTCTCTTTTTGATAGTCTTGGCTGAGTCTCTCCTCCACTCGCTGCAGCTGTTTCTTTACATCAGGATCTGAGAAATGGATAACAGGGCAATATGAATGCCTCATTATTTCCAATCTAAGCACTGACCTAAACTTTGAATGCAGATGTGAAACAGCAGTTCAATCGAAGGCTGCAAAGCAGAGGTGTTTGATCTTACTGACGCTTAAGAAAATGGATGCATCCACAAAATGTAACAACACAACACTGCATTACATAACAGGCTCCCACACTGTATTCCCTTGTGAAAACTGTAGCTGAAAATCCCTGGCAGCTTTATCTCAGGGTTTTTTTTCCCTGTCATGCTTTCTGACACACACATTTAAACGTAAGCACACATACACTTTTTTTATTTAATAGGACAAGCAAACTTGTGAAGATAGGCACCAGATAAACCAAAATAAATGAAGTCCGCCGAATACTGTGGAAAATTTGTGTAACTTATCAAATGACCAGCCCAGTAATATTTAATGGGAACCCTGTGTCTGGCTTTTTTTCAGAAAGCAGTGTTATATCAAATCATATGATTGCCATATGATTATCATCAAATTTTCACTTATTCTGTGTGGCATTTAACCGTGCTTAGATGCCTGTTCACACAGGACACATTCTTGCATTTAAATATAGCTGAAGGAACAGAAGAGAATGCAGGGGTCTTGTGACATGTTTTTGAACTATTTTTAACTTGACTTTGCTCATGGCATGAGACACTGAAAAAATAGCTAGGCAAAAGCAAATATCTGACACCCACATGGACAGAGATAATAAAAATATTACGTAGACAGAATGCAGTAAGTGAACGACCTACTGCTCTTTTGATTTTTTTTCTCAGCTAGATATCCGTGTTTATATCATAACGATAATTTGACAAACTGAATCCAGCAAAATCAATTACCGGTAGTTCCCCTAACTCAACTTGGTAACCCCTAGGAGAGTTCTGGCGACCTCTGGTGCAGGTTGGCGAATGATCAAACAGACAAGAAAGGTGGGATGTAGTAGGTTTTTACCGTTAGGTTTCCCCCTGCTGGCCTGTGTGAGGTAATGTCGAGCAGTCTGAGCATCAGCCAGCTCTAATGAGGCCACTCCAGCTCTGTAGAGGGCCTTAATGTCACCTGACCTCCACTGGAGCACTTTCAGACTGTACTCTAACACACGGCCATAGTCCACCAGCTCTCGCTGCAGCAGACATGCTGTGAAACACACAAATAGGTCAAGAGGAGAATGCTTCTCCAGATAAGATTTACAAACACTGCCATTCAATACTTTGTCGTCAGTAAGATTTTTGAAAGAAGTCTCATGCCCACGAAGGCTTTATTTGGTCAAAAACAATGTAAAAACAGGGATATTGTGAAATACTATTAAAATCTCAAATACATTGTAAAGTGTAATTTATTTCTGTGAAGGCAAGCTACGTGCTTGCATACATTTTTCTGATGAATCTTTGAAGAATAGAAAGTTAAAAAGAACTATTTATTTGAAATGGAAATCTTTGTAAGATTATAAATCCATTTACTGCCACTTTTGAGTTTAGTGTGTCCTTGCTGAATACAAGTATACATTTCTTTCAAAAGACCACAAAGTTTTGAATGGTAGTGTTTAATAAAGCAAGATCTCTTCTGCTATGAGTTATCATGAGATCAAGGACAAAGTTCACACGATTTTGTTTCCTACTTCTCATATGATTATTAACCGTTATGGTTTGAGGTTTTAATGTGGTCAATATGATGAGATGCCAGCAAAGAGTGAGAGCAAATAACAGGATCCTAGTTATGGGGGTAAAATAGATGGAAACTGTTTTGCTGAGATAGACAGAAATGGAAGGATTTGGTTCGGAGGTTTCAAACCAATAGGAAATGGTTAAACCAAAGGGTATGATCATGCATGACAGATAATAATACTATGATAATGCATGACCAATGATGATACCTAGCCTAGCCTGCCCAGTAAGAAACTGTTCCTATAAATGTGCTTAAAAACGCACAGAAATTAGCTTTGGAAAAAAGTGCCTGCAAAATTATTACACTTTAGTGTTGTTTAATTCAGTACCAAAGCATTACTACCTCACACCGCCACAGTATCTTTTTTGGAAGAAATGCAAACCTGCTAAATTGTTATAGCAGTCTACTTGAGTGCTCCTCAGCAGGTCCTCCTGCGCCTGGCTCAGTTTAGGCACCTGCGCCATTAACCCTTGCAGGGCAGAGGTCACCTCACCCAAGTCCAGGCCACGGAGAACGAGCAAAGCACGATGATAACGTCCAATGGCAATGCGCACATTTTTCTCCCGGTAGAATGCATTCCCCTCCGTCTTTAATCGAACTGCCTCCTGGAGCTGCGACTCCAAACGGGAGCCAGATGATTCTCCAGTGGCTCTCAAACATGACGATGCACCGGCCTCTGCCCCATCATCCCCTGCAGTAGGACCTAAAACCTGCCAAGCATAACCAAAATAATAGTTGACAACACAAAACTACTGCATTTTAACCCTATATGTAGCCACAGCATCTGCATCAGGAGACCAGTCTGTCAATTCATTATATGCTGGTTTTAGAAGATTCAGAAAGGTCTCCCATCCTGGCCAAGCCAAACCAGTGTATATCTGGTCTTCCAGTATGACCAGATAAGAAGTCCCCTAGTCCTCTCTGAAACCATAAGCAGAGAGACAAACTAACACCAGCAAACCACCGTAGGCTGTTTTTCCCAACAGAACACTGATCTCTTTCATGTTCATTCATTAGGTGTGTAGTAGACAGTTTATAAATCAAATCAAACAAGCTCATGAAATCGAAGTACATATAACAGAATTCACATCATTGAAAAAGTCGTAATTTTTTGAAACTTAACACATTTCAATGGATTTGAACTGCGCCCAGCACAGCATGCAGCCTAACCTACCTTTTCGTCCATTGCGTTTAAAGCTTTAAAAGAGTTGCAAGTCTGCTTAGAAGCCAGTTTAATGAAGAAAATATTGTTGGGACACTAAAGAAAGAAATCTTTGACATTCTTCTTCGTGCTTGTTATGGTTGCAGCATTGCATTTGGCAATACTACCTCCTGCCGGTAGAATATTAATAGCGCAAACTCATATGATAATCTACATCATATACATAATCTATGATCTACATCTTAAAAAAATTAATGAACTAATCACATGTAACACACAAGGAAACAAAAACACATCCATATATAGATTAAAATTATATGTACATAATTTAAAATATTCATATAATATAAACATAAAAATAATGAAGAAACAAATAAAAAAACCCGGAAAACACCGACTAAGGAACTAAGTAGAGAAAAGTAGATCCTCGTGAATAGGGCAATCACTATAACATGTTTTATTGTGTTTTGGGAATCTGTCACATTTTTATTATTAGTTAAATAGAGAAGTGAGTCTGCTTGAACGAGAGAAAAAAAGTTAGAGAGTAGAATTTTAAAACTTGTTGGTGGAAAAATATATACCAAACAAAAGAAATCCGATATACGTTTCTATCTGGACCTCACATTTGAGGAATCAAATGTCAGCTTTTCTTTTTATTTCTTTTAAAAACTGGTGGGCCTAAAATATCTATTTCTGTTATATCTCATTTCCATTGGTAACAACGACCAGCACGACGGTTGATTTGGAAACACAGTCTACGCATGAATCATGATGGATGACCCATTTTCATCATAGCGCTGATCCACTGACCGAATGAAGCTTTAAATGGGTGCAAGCCTTTGTCATGAAAAACACAATAACCGCTTTTACTGACATTTCTAATCAAATGTCAATTAAATATTTAAATCAAATTAAATCAATTACAGGCATATTTGATATAAAAGATGCAGTTTATGTGGCAGCTCTTGAGTCGCGTCGCGCGTACGTGAAGCTGGCGAGAGCGCCGTTGTGTAACGAGAAGCGTCCCGCCCCCGCCCCCGCCCCGCCCCGCCCCGCCGGAGGGAGGAGTCCCGAACACACTCGCTGCGTTGCGCTGCTGGAAAATTCCACTGTGTTTATGCTTTACATTTGCAGCTACACTGTCGAAAACAAACGTCGAGATTCCCGCAGGTAAATTAGGCTACACTCCTCTAGCGCCGGCTGAGACGAATCTTCGGGAACATGGAGCTGGATCGGCGGCTGCTGCTGGCTCACTGCGCCGCGCACGCCCTGTCCGTTATTGCGGGACTCCTGGTGGTCGTGCCGCTCGCTCTAAACGGATCCGCTTTCAAGGGGAGGTGCGCGCTGTTTAGTCAGGGCTTCTGGAGGACGGAGAACCTGACGCTGGGCGAGGGAGAGTCCAGAGAGGTCACTCATCTGGTGCTGCAGTGGGGTCCGTTAGCGGCGTGCCAGTTCGCCACATTTGTCGGTGTTTTCACCGTGCTGTACGGCGCTGTTCAGGGCTGGAGGAGCCTGTTCTACCTCCACCGGCGGCACGACGAGTGAGTCTTAATAATGTGACATAAAACTTTAATAGCTACAATTAAAACATTAGAATGCTATATTTGATCAACAACATTAAATTAATATATATATATAAGTAAAACTGAATAAAATATATGATACAACAGTTTGAAAATTATATATATTCAGCTTATATTTTTTTATATTTGTGTATATTAAAAATATGTAATGTTTTATATTAGTACAATGTAAAATATTTTATGTAATTACAATATATAAATATACATTTTAAGTATATTATTCAGTTATTTAATAATGCTTTAATTAACGAATATATATATATAATTCGGTTTAATATTATTTAATATTCTGTATATTAAAAACTAAATATTTTATGTAAATACACTATATTAAAATATGTAATTATATTATATAATTAAATATATATATATATATATATATATATATATATATAGCTTCAATCATTTTTTGTTTAGATTAAGGAAAAATTAACGTTTTGTATAAAAAATATATATAAAATATATTTTGTGTGTATATATATATACACACATACAATATACACACACACACACATATATATACATCAATCATTTAAGTTAATTTTTTTCCTCAATGTACACACAGCACCCCATATTGACAGAAAAACACAGATATTTTGAAGAATGTGGGTAACCAATCAGTTGCTGGTCCACAGTGACTTCCATAGTATTTTTTTTTCCTACTATCAAATTCAATGTGGACCAGCAACTGATTGGTTACCCACATTCTTCAAAATATCTTCTTTTGTGTTCAGCACAAGAAATAAATTAATACAGGTATGGGACAACATGTAAATAATTTATAATAATAAGTAAATAATGACAGAAATTAAATTTTAGGGTGCACTCTCTCTTTAATGACTGTCGCCTGCATGTTTAGTACTGTCCCTTTAAGAGCTGCACGCATCTAATATACAGGCATGCATCCGTTTTTCTCTCAACTGTTTACTTTAATTTTAGACATTACCAACTGATTCTGTATGTAAACCTTGTGTGTTTTGACAGTATTAGCACAAAAGATAACTTAGTTCAGCAATCAGGTGCTGTTTGACAGGCTTTTTAGTGTGCGCGTGCTTCGGGTGCAAGCGCTCAGAAAAAGCGCACGTCAGAACAGCACGTGAATTCAATATTTAACCAGTAAGGCTTTAAAGCACATGCAAATAATGTACTGTTGTGACTGCGAATAGGTGCAGTGTCCTGTGAGAGTAACTCTACCGCTGAGTTAACACTGATGTGAATGTATGTGGTGTTGTACAATATCTTGATAAGGCGGCGCCAGAACTACGATATTTCTTCAAAACAGATCGTGGAAACATTTTAATCGTCATATCGCACACCCCTACCTATATTTTGATTCAGGGCACAAATCACGTCCAAATCAGGTTTAGCAGATACAACCCCGGTTCAAACGGACGGTGATGTTACCTGTGTGACGATGATTGGAGACAGCTCTTTGAGGTTCTGGATGTGAGACAGGAGCGAATCTCGCAGTGAGGTGTGGGTCTCTGGGGGAAGCTCGTAGAACGATGTCTGGATCTTCATCTTCATTGTTTGGGCTGCGAAGTAAGGAATAATTATATGGTCATTGGAGAGACCAACCTGCATGATCCATTGGTATTCATTTTCCCTCCTTTTCCTGCAGCACGCTATTCTCTGCCTTCCTCACGCTGCTGCTGAGTCTGTGTGTGCTCTTCCTCTCTGGAGGGGCCAGTGTTACTCTCACCCTGGGCCTAGTGTCCTGGTGCAACACTGTTACGGACCACAACACCAGACCCTACAGGTACACAAATCTTTAAATCTATAAGCTGACAGGAAGACTGTTTATGTAGTACTTTACACAATACATATAGTTTCAAAGCAGCTTTAGAGACTTGATTATGGTCCAAAATCATAAAAAGCATGCTGTATTCATATTTATTAAAAAAATACAATGTATACTGTTGAATACACATTTCATTGATGAATGAAATGCCTACATAATGTTGTCACATAGTGATGTATTGAATGATTTTCTCGGTCTCTGCAGTTGTGCTGAGTCACAGTCTGTTCCTCTATATCTGGACGTTGAGACCTCCTCGTTCTACTCTGAGCTCAATTGTGCACAGGTAAAGGAGAAATTGAAGTGACTTGTATTTTGTTTTGAGATCTGTGGCTCAGTTCACCAAAACATGCATATTTTACAAGGAAACACATTATTGTAAGCGCGTTTCTCTTTGCAGATCTCTCTGTGGTGTGTAACGGCTCTGTGGTTGGCTCACTCTATTTTGTCCTTCCTGAGGCTCTATCATTCTCACAGTCAGCAGATCAGCAGACCGTGTTTATACAGGGAGAAGGAACTCCTCCTGGGCCAAACTCAAGTGGAGTGTCCCATTCATCATCCACATACACACTTGCATCCTTCACACACTCCCAGTGTTTTTATTTAGCCATTTAGTGTTCATAGAAGTTGCACTTTGAGGTTGATCTAAGGCCAGTTTTATTGATGGGAAAGACTGGTCCAAGATTAGCGTAAAAGGGAATTAACTTCTAGACAATCCCCACAGGTCTCATGCATGTTACACCCCAGTAATCGGAATTAGCCTTGGTTTGATCTATTCGTTACTTTTTATGCATTTGATAAGAAGTTTTTGTCATGTAGCTTAGTGCTTACATTGAGGTAAAATGTTTTGTGTGCATCCATTTATAACTTTGCCATAACAAATGTCAAAGGATTCTCAAATATATATGATATATTGCACTATTAATGCATTGCTCTTGCATATGCAAGATATCGTCTAACTTTATATGTTCAGCCATATAATGTGAATTTTAAGTGAATGGGAAGGAAAGACTAGCCCGTTGCATGTGCTCAAGTCTGACCCATGCTTGTTTTGTACTGTGTACTGTATACGTGTACAGCGTGACTTTTTGCATAGCCAATGGTACGGTCACTCAAACCAGACGTTCTCTTTCTAATCTGATGAAGGTTTCTTATATGAAGCTGTTTGCGTTGATGCAAGCTCCTGGTTCAAAATCCACTTTTGCTGAATATTGCATTGTGTAATTTGTGATGGAAATTCAAAGACAAGGAGAAGCTGAAAAAACAAGAATGTTGCTCATCCTTTTTGAATCTGGAACCTTTGACCTGGAGGATTGTTGTGAAACACAAACAGTTGAATAAGACACATGAGGGAGATGAGAGAGAAATGTTCATTTATGGTTTGGAAATGTGATGATGCTTGTGTTTTTTTTTTACTGCTGTTTGTATCCATTATGTCCTATTTATAAGCTCTTTTCACTTGAGTAAAGGTAATAGTACATGGTGTCTTGATCCGAACTTTGTTTTTTTTAATATAAAATAATTACTCAAATAAAATATTCAAAGTAAAATGGCAAAAGCATGGTAAAAGCAAACAGAAAACAAAAGAAAATATATTAATCAAAATTGTTATTAAACAAATTAACAAAATGTTAATGCCAGACTATAAAAATATGAATTGTTTAAATAAACCACAGTCTCAAAAACAGTACAATTTTCAAACATATATGTGTGTGTCAATATTGCAATATAAATAGTTTTAAAATGTTAATACTTAAGGACTTAACTCTGTACCAGTACATGTAAAAACAAGAAATAAACTTTTTTTCCAGGTATTTGGAAAATATTAAGTGTGACATGCCAATAAACAGTTTTTCAATTACATTTTCATTAAAGTACATTCACTGACCGTATAATATAATTTAAAATGTAAAGCTGCACCTAACTACCCTTATTTATAATTTGTTTGATCAACATTAATGTATTTATTAATATATATAAAATCATGTAATATAAGGCCTTGTTTCCTCCCTGTCATAGTTGTCAGTAAAATAGTAAATACTGTAATTATTACTTTATCAAGTTTCTATAAAACCGATAAATGGCTCAGCAGTAAAGGAAAGGGTTAGCTGGCTACTATTGCTCAGAATGCATTTTCCTCCTCAATACGGTTTGCACCTGTTATGCTACATGTCCTTGGCAATCTTAGACAGCTGATTAAACTTCTCTGTCTTTCATCACAGTCCCTTGTTGTAAGTCAGCACCTTGCAATCTGTTGCCATGGCAATTTCCGGCTCAAGGTGAGATGCTTCGATCTGTGAGGAGCAAAGAATGATTAGCAAGCAATTCCCTGCTAAAATATTTATTATTCAGAACACACACACACACACACACACACACACACACACATCTGAAAAGATTAATGGCAAGAGGTCGACAGACAAAATTAAACCTGCTGCAGCAATTGTTTGCTGTAGAGGAATAGGAGAAGTGACGCAGGTGTTGCTGCGGTACCTCTGACATCTGTGGGAAGAGACTGATAGCCAGCGGCAAGGACAGACCAAAGACTGCCAGACATACTAAACTGTGCACAGGCAGCATCATCCTGCGATGGGCCTGCATCAGAGGAAGCCTGGCAGAGGACAGTAATAACAGACTCTCATGACTGTTTTTGTAGCTATTAAACAATTGAATTATCATTTAGAGAATTAATTACAATAAAAATTATAATTAATAATATATTACTAATGTTATATAATAATATAATGTTAATTATATATATATATATATATATATATATATATATAT